CTGGGTCCCTGCCTGCAGGACAGAATTCCAGAAGGGGGTAGGTGAGATTTTCTTACATCATAACCAGCCAGTCCCGGTTCTCCTTGGGCCCCCATCCGTCCCGGAGCACCCTACGAGAGGTTACAGTTAAACCAATCATATTAAAGACAAAGATGATAAATATTCCAAACTCAGCCCTTCCTGATAACTACATTTCATCATTACCTACGCTCTCGCGTATTTCCGCCCACGGAGTCTGTGCAGTGGACAACACACAGTCCTGCATAGCTCCTCCCACGTGCCCATTCAGTGACATCATGGTGGCAGCATGCAATCAGCCAGGGTGGGAGCATTTGCACTTTAAGTGTCACAAAACGGCTCAGCCGTTGATCAGTGCACACTGGCAGCTCCGAGATGCCGTCACCTGTCTGCCTCCCCCCTGCTTTCCCCCTCTACACCTGCCAGAGCCCCGGGGGCCCTCCTTCAGGGCAGGCCAGCGATAGACCGGGACACCCTCATAGTCCCCCAGGGATTCGTAGCACCTTCACCCTGATCCTCATGGAGCTATTTCCAGTGGGAAGACTCCTTCTTCCTAAAAAACACTCACGAGGGGCTGGTCCCCTCTCCCTCTCCTAAAATGGGGCTTGTTAATCTGGGTCTGTGAAGGACTTCAGAAGACCCACCACCCCCTCAAACTGAAAGAGACACTTGGTGCTGTGGGTACTTTTGCAGGGAGAGAGGCTGCGGGTTCTGCGGGTTCCCAAAGGGATCCATGATTCAAAAGAAGCGGCCAGGACAAGGGGTCGAGCTGGCGATACCTCTCTTTCTGCCCTTGGCCCCCCTCTGCTCTGTGCCTCAGCCCACCCCACCCCACCCCACCCAGAGGGTTCTCACCGTTGGTCCCAGGCTGCCCCGGGACCCTTTAGGGCCTGGGGTGCCAGGGGGTCCAGGGTCTCCAGGGACGCCCATCTCACCCAGCTGTCCTTGGTAGCCCTTGGCACCCTGCAGTGGAAGGAGAGACAGGCTGTCACCAGGCCCCATAGGGAGGTGGAGAGAGACGAGAGAGACATGGGGCAGGGCGAGGGGAGGAGGGACTGGGGAGGTCACGGCCCCAGGAAGCATGGCATGCCACCTTGGCTCCTGTCCGGCCCTTCTCGCCTTGCCTCCCTGGTTTTCCTTCAGGACCCTGAGGGGAGAAGGAGGGAAAGAAAAGGGTGAGAAATACGGAAGATTAGCGCACTAGCTCCGAGGGCAGCCTGCTGGGTTCAAAACTCACCCGTGCTCAATGCCCCTGTGACCTTGAGTGTGACCTAACTTCCCGTGATGGGAGGCTTTGTCTGCAAAGTGGGGACAGGGGTCCTATGTGCCTCAGAGCGCTGAGAATTCAACCTGCTCTCACTCACCAGGTGCGTGGCCCATATAAGCGCGGCATAAATCCTCATTTCATGGCGGCTGCTAGGCGCCCAGGCTGTCCCAACGGGAACAGCTCTCTGCACTCCCTTTGCCACGCACTGTTCCAGCCTCCCAGCCACGCTGAGTCTTGGGCCCGATCAAGGCCTCCTCCCACCTATGGTGACCTCTGGGCTTCCAGAAGGTGAAGGGACTTGCCCAGAACCCTGATTCAACTGTCGGTCTGTCTGAGTCCACATCCAGGGCTCAGGGTACCCACTGATGACACGAGGCATCTCATCTCTAAGATGCTGCGGCTCACTTCTGACAATCTCTGGGGCCGTGTCCCACTGACAGCGTCTCCCTCCCTTGGGGGCTGGAGTTGGAGGGGATCGTCACAGTGGGGCATTGTGCGGGGGAAGGTCAGCTGCCTTCCCCCGCTCTCCCACTGGGGTACCCAGGCCACTCCCTCCAACAGGCCGCTGTGCCCCCTTCCCCCACAGGGCATCCCATAATGCAGCTCTGCCTCGCCCTGCCCTGGTCAGGGCCACACATTTCAGCAGGGTGATTGAGTGCGTGTAAGTGTGCATGTGTGAATATAAGAGAGGGAGAGAAGAGAATCCCAACCCTGAGCCACACTGGTTTGGGATGTAGGGGGTGGGGCAGGCAATGTTTCTGGTTTGGAAAGGACATCCTGACGGCCCACAGAAGACAGTTCTCTCAAGGCCCAAACCTCAAGGGGAGCTGGGAAAAAAAAACACCTACGTTCTTGGCAAACACTAAAGAGCTAGTTTGATTCAATCCCTATGGCTGCATTAACAGAGGTGCTTGCTACAGGATGAGGGAGATGATGGTCCCACCTCGGAATAGGAGTAGGTACTGACTGTGATGGAGGAAGGGCAGGAAGACAGGATCTTAGAGGAACCAGGAAACACATGGGCTAACCCAGAGGGACTGGATTTCTGTCTGCAGATTTCTGCAGCTGCCCTGAGGCAGCAGCAACTGTGTTCTCTGGGGTGGTCAGTGGACAGAAGTTACAAGGAGGCTGGCTTTGATTTAGTACAAGGGAGAGATGTCTGCTCAAAAGACAAAACATGGCAAAAGTGTACTAGAGATGTCCAGTCCCTAAAGGAAGTGCCGTTCAGCCCACTCTGGGGCCCTCAGGAAGGAGGGAATGGTGATCCTGAAAGGACAGACTGTCCTGTATTCTGGTGCTTAAAGCCTCATGCGATCCTGGACAACTCCCTTTCCTTCTGTGTGCCTCAGTTTCCCGACTTCTTTTTTTTTTTAATGTTTATTTATTTTTGAGAGAGAGACAGAGCATGAGCGGGGTAGGGGCAGAGAGAGAGAGGGAGACACAGAATCCAAAGCAGGTTCTAGGCTCTGAGCTGTCAGCACAGAGCCCGATGCGGGGCTCGAACTCACGGACCCGGAGATCATGACCTGAGCCGAAGTCGGACCCTTAACTGACTAGGCTGCCCAGACGTCCCTCAGTTTCTCCACTTCTAATATAAAGGTCTTGAACTAGCTTTTGCACTGTCTACTCTGGTGGCCCCTTGCCACACAGGGCTACTGAACACTTGAAATGTGGCTACCAGGACAGAGGAACCAAATTCTTAATTCAATTTAAGTTTAATTGATTTAAAATTAAAGTTGACCATTCAGTTATTATAAAACTTGTAGGTATGTTTGGAATCACTTGGGGATATGAATCTACATTTTCAGCTGTATAGTTCATGGAATCTAAATACAGATCAAGTATTTCTAATGAAATCTAGCATCCTAACTGAGATGTGCTGTAAGAGTAAATTACACATCAGATTTCGTAGATTTAGTACAAAAAAAAAAAAGAATGCAAAATGCCTTACTAATGATTTTTATATTGATTATATGTTGAAAATGTTACCATTTTAGATATATCGAGCTCAATAAAATAGACTATTAAAATTTATTTCACCCACTTCTTTTTACATTTTTAAAATGTGAGTACTAAAAAATTTTAAATTACACATGTAGCTTGCTTCTGTTTCTACCGGACGGCACTGTGTTAGCAACGTCAAGGTCTTTTGCTCCTCCAAAAATAAAATAGTAACAACCATCATGGCTTCAACCAGGGGCCAGGCGCTGTGTCCGTATTTCGCATCATACCTCATGCAATTCTGGCCACAGGGTTGGGAGGAAGGGATTCTTTGTTCCATTTGAGAGCCAAAGGAATGGGCTCGGTGACATGAAGGTGTTTTCCACAGGCCACCTAGCCAGGTTGGAATGGAACGCAGATCTTCAGTGTCTGGGGCACCGCTGTCCCAGGATGGTCATATTTGGGAAATTGTGAAATCATGGTACAGGGGCTCGTGGAATTTGTCAACACACTGAGGTGATTGCTTTGGCTGATCTCTTGTCAGGAGGAGAAATGAGTCAGCACTGAAGAATTCAGCACAGGGCCAGGATGCCGGGAGTCTCCCCCAGGACAGGGCGGCCGGCCACTTGTTCTGACGGGCCCTCTCCAGCTGGGAGCATCCCTCATGGTGTGGGAAACCCTGAGTAAGGGCTGGAGCAGCCAGTGGGGTGAGGCTGTGGGGCCAGAATGAAGACTTTTGCTGGGCCCCCATCCATGTAGATATATTTCTGGAAAGGCTCTGATGGCTCATAAAAGTCTATTTTTAAATACTCCACTGTTTCCTGGCCAGAGTGGGAGATACTTGTCCCGCAGCCCTGATGCCAAAGAGACTCAAATACAAGCCTCTCACCACCTCCGTCACCCAGCACGCACTCAGTCTGGCCCCAGTGAACCTCTCTCCAGCTCCCGTATATGAAAATTGGTAGAGACAGCAAAATATGGACACGAACGCTGCTACCACCACCAGCACCACCACCGTCTGTCCCCATCACTGTGGCCACTGTCACCACCACTGCCACTGCTGCCACTGCCATCACCATCACCAATATCGCCACCATCATCACCGCCTCCACCATCATCCTCACCATCACCACCATCATCGTCACCATCATCCTCACCATCATCACCATCCTCACCATCTCCACCATTATCATTACCATCATCCTAACCATCTCCACCACCACCACCATCATCACCATCTCCACTATCATCACCTCCACCATCACCACCATCTCCACCATCACCATCACCATCATCATAACCATCACCACCATCACCATCATCACCATCTCCACCATCATCACCACCATCACCACCACCTCCACCATCACCATCATCATTACCACCATCATCCTTACCATCATCACCATCATCACCATCTTCACCATCATCACCATCTCCACCATCATCATCACTACCATCATCCTAACCATCTCCATCATCTCCACCATCATCATCATTTCCACTACCATCACCAATCTGTACCACCATCACCACCACCATCATCATCACCATCTCCACCATCATCACTATCACCATCATCCTAACCATCTCCACCACCACCACCATCACTGTCACCATCTCCACCACCATCATGTCCACTACCATCACCACAATCTCTACCACCATCACCACCGCCATCATCATCACCATCTCCGCCATCATCACCACCATCACCAATACCATCACCACTGTGACCATCATCAACACCTGCACCCAACCATCAATATACTACCACTATCATGACCACAACCAGCAGCTTCCAAATTCTTTCCTCTTCCAAATTCTTAAAGATGATATTTATTTTCTGGCACATAATATAAAGCACTTTCTTTTCCAAAGTTTCATTGACTCTTTAAATAAGAAGGCCAAGGCTCGTAGAGAGGCAGCAGTGATCTGCCTAAGGTCACCCAGATAGCGGGTGCTCGAGCCAGAACTTAACCTTTGGACTCTAGACCCAGGGCTATTTCTGCCACATGTCGCTGCCCATCCCACAACCATGATACTCAGAAGTTTGCTAAGAAAGAGCCTCTGGAATGTTGGAGCCTAAAGTGATCTCAGCACGCATTCCTTCCAAATCCATACCAAGCACGTGACCCAGAGAGGGTGATGGCAAGTGAAGAGTCACACAGCAAGCTCCTAGTGGAGAATCTTGGCTGATGCCCCTCCTGCTAAATCCTCCCTGCTAAATCCAGTGTGGCTGAATGTGGGATAAGGCCCGCAGGGCTGGACTTGTGGAGGGTGTGGAAGCCAGACTGAAGAGTGTGAGGTGACAGTCTGAGGGCTGGCCATGGGAGGGCTAGGCGAGGGAGGGACATGGTCAGCTTGGTTCTCTGGGAAGCTCCCAGGTGGAGGAAGGATACAGGGGAAGGCCTTCAAGGGACTGCTATCAAAAGGCCTCCCCTCCTGTCCAACTGCCTGAGCAGGCTCGAGTCGTGTCCCCCCGCAGAAGCCCCAAGTGCTGGCATGCAGTCACACATACTCACCCGGACGCCAGTGATGCCAGGGGGCCCGGGGGGCCCATCCTCGCCCTTCAGTCCCTCCTGACCCTTGTCACCACGTTCACCATCAGGCCCGGGGTCACCCCTGTCCCCCTAGGTTGAAGGCGAATGGGGAGGGGAGAGAGAGAGAGACAGAAGATATTAGTCACTAAGCCCAACAGAAGCGCTAAACCTCAGGGCTCCGTTCGGATGTCCACAGCCAAGAAGCCCTTGGAGTCCCCTGATTGTTCCCGGAGCCACCAAAAGGGTCAGGTGGCATGGCCTGGCTGGCACAGGGAATACCCCTGCCATGGTGCCTGGGCCAGTGAGGAGGCAGCCCAGAGGGAACACAGAACCCTGACCACTCCCGCCCCAAGGAGTTCACAGGAAGGGGGTGGCTTTGGGAGCCTCGACTATGTCTCCCCAACAGGGACACACTGGGAGGACAAGAGTCTTAAGACGCTGAAGGACATTTTTATAAAGGAAAACAGCTCACCCGATCCTGACCCTCAGAACTAGCTCCATTTTTCTGAGTTGCATTTTCAGCACTTGCTTACACGAAAACAGTTTACAGTAACAATAATAAGGAACAGGTCACGGTTTCCATTGTTAGTCCTGGGCTCGGACTGGTGGGACAGCTGTGGCAAAGCCATGAGGCTACTTAGCAGTCCAGTCTATGCAGCTTTAAAGGCATAACCCAACTACACTGCACGGTTCCATCTCCTTTGTTTTGTGTTTTTGCTGTCTGACTCTACCGTGAGCACCGTCTCCCATCGCTGACTGCTCGGCCCTCACTCTCGCCGGCTGCAGAGCACGGATTGAGTCCAGGGGACGACAGTTAGCACTCGCACGGCACTTGCCCAGGATCTGTGCCAGGCCAGGTCCCCCCGGGCAGAGCAGGTGTGAGGGGTGCAGCACGGGCCGTGGCCACAGAGGAGCAGGGTGGCGCCTGTCAGAAGGCCACCCCCATCACGGCTGGCAGGCCCGGCGGGGGCTCGTGGCCGGTCTGCAAGGGGCTGAGCTGGGACTGTGCAGAGAGACCGTGGGAAAGGGTATGAAGTCATGGACAGGAGGGTGGGGGAGCAGGCTGGGAGAAGGGGAGCATGTCTTGGCCAGCTCTGCTCTCCAGCACCACACTTCGCAGGGAACACTGATAAACTGGTGTGGGTCCAGGAGAAAGATCAGGGTGCAGAGGGCATGAAGCTGGAGACTGGGAACAGGTCTGCTGAGAGCGTATCCTTCAGGATGGACCTACTGGGGCCCGGGGCCTGGGCTCTGGGCAGAGGAGGCTGGTACAGGGGCCTGTTGGGGAAATTTCTAGCCCAGCTGAGGTGGGGGGTACTTCCCAATGGGGAGGAGTCCAGAGATGAATGGCATGGATAAGGGAGGGAGGCTCCAAGCTGAGGTGTGGGCCAGTGCAGAGCAGATCTGGGCACCAGGAGAGGGCTGGACAGGTTGGTTTCTGAGATCCCTGCCCACTGAGATTCTCAGGCTCCGAGCCAAGACCGGCATAGAGACGGGGTGCTTCCCAGATGACTCCTGCAGACTCCAGCCCCAGGGCTCCCCTTCTGGCTTGTCATCTCTGGCCACCTGCTCTCCTAGCTCTCCGAGGCAGACAGCCTGTTCCAGTTGGCCAGGCTTGTTTACAGAGAGGGGCCTCAACCTGAGTCCTACAGGGGCTCTGGCTCCAGGGACTACCCAGAGCCCCACATCCCAGGCTCCCACACAGCAGGGGTGGTGTCCTGGTGGACCCCCTACAGAATGGGTCTGGGGGGTCCTGGAGAATCCTAGAGTCCTAGGACATCCGCCAATGCTCAGAAGAGCCTTACAAGATGTCTAACTCAACCTTCTTGATTTACACATGGGGAAACTGAGGCCCAGAGAGAGGAGACTTCCCATTAGCACATGTGAGTCAGTGGCAGAGCACGGGTGAGACCCTAGGGTTCTGGTTCTTTCCAATTCCAAGGTTCTCTGCGCAGGGGACAATACTTCCCTCCCCCCTGGGGTTATGTTGCTTAAATTCAAATCTTGCTGCTACCTCTCAACAGCGGTGTGACCCGGGGCAAGTTTCCTCATTTGTTAATTTTTTTTAACATTTATTCATTTTTGATAGAGAGAGACAGAGTGCGAGCGAGCAGGGGAGGGCCAGAGAGAGAGGGAGACACAGAATTGGAAGCAGGCTCCAGGCTCCGACCTGTCGGCCCAGAGCCTGACGCGGGGTTTGAACCCATGAACTGTGAGATCATGACCCAGTCTGAATTCGGACGCTTAACCGGCTGAGCCACCCAGTTGCCCCAAGTTTCTTCACTTGTAAAATAAGCAGCAAAGGGTCACTATGAGGATTGAAAGAGCTAATCCACGCGAGTAGCTTAGCAAGGTGTCTGGTGCGTGCATGCTGGATAAAGGTTAGCTCTACTAGGAGGCATCACCACCACCATCTGCTGGTCAGCAAACTCAAAAGAGATAATCAGCGTAAAAGCGCTCTATATAAACTATTGAGTGCTGTGCGTGTCCGAGAGGTTAGTTTCACCACGAAGGTGACTCTTAGACAAAACACCATAAAGACACCAGATGGTCTCCAGGGATTGTGTGAGGACCAGGGAAGATACTGTGCACCTGAGCAACTACTCGGGCCCAAGGTCTACGGTAGAACTGGCTTTGAAAGGGAGTGAAAGAGGAAGAAGCCAGGACCAGGAGCCGAGATAAGAGCAGAAAAGACTGTGTGAGGCACCCACCCCTCCAAGCCCCCACTCTCCTCCCACCTCAGCAAGATCCCAAGGAGAAGAAAGGTGGCTGTCCAGAAGTGGGAGAGGCCCTCGCATTGTGCCTCAGTTTCCTCATCTGTCAAGTGGGGGGGTGACGAATCTAGCCCCCAGGGTACCTGGGAGGACTGAATGGGTTCACTCATGTAAAGGCGTCAAGGCAGTTGGTGCAAGCACATGGTGAGTACACAGAGCATCTCAGCCAGAATGTTCCTCAGTGTCCCCGCAGTTCAAGCGGACATTTGGCAAAGGGTGTGGGGGGGGCTCTCGGGTGGCTCCGGGTCTCCCCGGCCAGGACCTGGCTGTATCCTAGGATGCAGCCGCGTTGGAGAGGAGAGAAGGCTGCTGGATGGCAGACAGGGGGCGCTCTCAGCCTTGCAAGAAAAACCAGAGGCAGAAGCAGAGCCAGCCAGGGGCCACATCATCGTCATCGAGGTTTCCTGGTAGATGGGGAGGCCCAGGACCCAGGGCAATTACGGGGACAGGGCAGTGGGAGTGGAGGTCTGGAGATGGGCTGCTTATGCGAGGTCACATGAGAGTAAATGGCTGACAAAGGGCAGCCTGGGATGTGGCACTTGGGACCCTGGGCTAGGGAGCTGAGTCACAGTGTGACAGATCAGCCCTGGGAAAAGCCCACCTCCTATGCCAGGGCAGGGCCAGGGCTGGCAGCCAGGGACAGGCCTGGGCTAGAGGTGGCGCTGGTAAGTCAGAGAGTGGTGCCAGCCTGCCCTGGGGTTCAGGGGAGCCCTGGCACCTCCTGAAAGTGCCAGCCTCTGTGGCTGACAGAGGAATCTCCGGGATGCAGCGGGGCAGAGTTAGGCCTATACGCTTTGGTGCCAGTGAACCCTGGGTTTGAGTTTTGGATTCTCCACTCAGCCACAGACTCTGGATGAGTGTGCCTCTGCCTCCTTCTGAGCCTCAGTCTCTTCATCTTTAGATTGGGCGCATGGTGCAAAGAGGTAGCTGAGGCTTGGGTCTTGGCTGTGCGTCCTTGGGCAAGTTGCTTAACCTCTCTGAACCTCAGTTTCCTCATTTAGAGACAGAACTGATCCCGGACCATTAACTGAGGTGTGACACGACACGAAGGGCTTAGTATAGTACCTGATACATATGTGACTAGTCCGCCATAAATAGTGGCTTACAGGTCATGGGTGGCGATTCTGATTTTCCTGATCTTTTAGGATGTTTGGAAGATCCCAGATATCAAAGCTGCTGGCCCTGGGCCGGGCACGGAGCAGGTGCTCAGGTACTACCCTTAACCAAGAGAAGCTGTTGTTTTGAGGAGAAGGGCAGCAGCGAGCAGCGGAAGGTGGGGAGGGTTCCTAGGCCCCCGTCCAAGCGGGGCAGGAGGCTGCTGCAGTGCTGGACAGCGCTGCCTTCAATAGGAGCCAGAGGTCTGCTCTCAGAGCTTTATGGGAACACAGTGCTTCTGAGAGAAAACTTAGGTCTGGGATGGGAGGGTAGTGGGGGCAGAGGTAGAAGGCACTTCCAGAACACCTCCTCCTGCCCCCCAGACCCCACAGCAGAAGGATGCTTACCTTCAGCCCGTCAGGCCCTGCAGGGCCACCGTCACCCTCAAGGCCCGGCTCTCCCTGCAAAGGGTGGTGGGGAAAGATGAGGAGACATTACTGGGGAGGGGGCCCCATGTGCTTTTACTTCCTCCCCCTCCCTGGGGCAGGACCCCAACCCTGTCTCCAGGCAGTAGGGCCCTGGCATGCCTGGCACAGAGCAGGTGCCCGGTAAACGGTGGCTGAATTAGTGAGCGAGCAGGGGGGTTGAGGCACCCTCTTCAGAAAGGAGGAGCAGCCCCCAAGCCACAGCCTGCTCTATCTGCAGGGTTGGTCAGGTGGGGGCGACAGGAGGTCCTGAGTTGCAGTGTCCAAGTTGGCTGGCCGGACTGGGAGGCGGTGCTTGCCCAGGGCTTCGAGAAAGGCTTCGATGCCACCCGGACCTCAGTCCCCCAACTAGGCTTCCCATTCACCGGCAGCGTGACCACGAGCAAACTACCTAGCCCCCCACGGGCACCTGTCTTCTCCCCTGAGAATTGGGCTGATACCCCTTCCTTTAAGGGCTCCTGTAAGGCACAGTATAAGCACCCCACAAACGCCAGCCACTAGGTACGTTATTTCTGGAACTGGAGCGAGCTCTCATGGAACTCCTCGGTGGAATCCCATTTCTCAGATGAGGACAGCCAGGCCAAACTTAAGACTTTTTTTCTTTTTTTCTTTTTGCCAGCAAGTCTGGGAAGGATACCAAGCCCCGGAATCCCCATCTGGCCCTCGGCTAGATTCTCTGCCTGCAGTCCCAGCTCCAGAGATGCCCCTGGACTTTTCAGTTCTCCAAACGGCCGTCACAGGTGTTTGGGTCTCTCTTTGCTTTCAGAGCTCATAGCCGTTCAGCACCTTCTGAGGAGCCTCAGAAGTCGTCAGATGCAGGGATGGCAAAGGCGTGACAGGCGCGCAGACTAATGGATTCACCAGGACGTGGGCCCATGAGGACAAGGCCTCCGGTCACTCACTGCTCTGTTCCCAGTGCTCTGAGAGATTCTCTTCCCTACTGCGCCTACGTGGAGCCTCGGGATCCTTCTCAACATGGCACTCCCAGAAAACTGCACTGATCAGTCTTCGTTGACACATGAGCGCTGCCATCTCACGGCTTCAGGCTCCACACTCATCGTCTCCCGCCCCGTGGTCTTTCTCGCTCTTTCTATGTCCTAACTCAATTTGTGGAGCCTCTGTTAACTCAGGGCAGGGGGGAGCAAGAGGCAATGGAAAAACGGGAAAGGTGAGAAATGATGGGGGGCTTGGGCTGGGCCTGGTGTCCCCACGAACTGAGGCCCACACTAACTCCCCCTCCCTGCCGGACTCCACATTCTGCAGCCATCAGGTGCTAGGGGATGCCTGCTTTCTACCCCTCCCGGTACCCCAGGCCACATTCAGGCAGAGACCTTGTAAACTGGGCACAGAGCATAGAGAGGTAGACAGAGAGGCATCCCAATGCTTCACAGAGAAAGAAAAGCTTTGTGGGTTTCTTCCAGTAAAGGGGAAGGTCACCTTCCATGGAACAGTTTTCAGGGATGAAAAACAGGTGTTTTTCAGTAAAAGTGCTTGCAGGTCAGTAAGTTTGGGGGCCCTGGATGAATCCAAAAGGAACCAGTTTCTTGGCTGCAGGCCTTCTCAGAGCCTTGAAAATGCTACTGCTGATATGTAAGAGGGAACACGGAGCATGCAGTGAGTCTCAGACGCTTTGACCGCTTTGACCACTTTGACCACAGAACCCTTTTCTTCGAAGAGTGCCTCTACAGGGTGGAAATGCTGGCCCACCAAGAGAGATAGATGGGATGAGGCTGAAGGGATTCAGGGTCTCCTTCTCCCTGAGGCTCGGGGAGGTTGAGTGAAGCCCTTCCCCCCACCCAAGCGCCCCTCAGGTGGCTTTCCAGGGAGAATGAATTTGCTTCGACTTACCCGCTGCCCAATGAGGCCCTGCTCCCCAGGGGTGCCCAGAGGCCCAAGGTCACCCTAGGAGAAGCCAAACACAAGTCCATGGGGGTGGGTGGGGCCAGTCCCAGCCCTGACTTCACCCTCCAGTTCTCACCAGCTCAGATTTGGGTGGGGAGCTGGGGAAGCACCTTCTTCCGAGGACCAAAGCGAAATTGTAAAATGCCAACCAGAGCCTCCGCTCCACGGTCGCCCTGGCCACGTCAGGACCGCCACGGCCACCACCACCATCAGGCTCACGTGGACACGGCACTGTTCTAACTGCCTTTTTATTTCCCATGTGATCCCTCACCGCGACCCTGCCAGGAAAGGTGTCTTCTTTTCCGGAGGAAGACACTGCAGACCGTGGGGTGACAGAACTAGCCCGAGCCCATGAGGCTAATAAGTGACAGATTCAGGATCCAAACCTGGGTAGTTAGGCTCCAGGGAGGATCGGATGCAGGGACGGTAACTCTGTGGCTGCCCACCTTCTTTGATCCCCTGAGAGCCTTGGAGAGAAACCCAAAGGAGGAAGAGGCCCTACATGAGCCAGAATAATGTCCCCTGCCCCCCAGAAGATGACCGTGTGGGCATGTGCGCACTAGTCTCCCTCCGTGCTGATGCCCCAAGGGCCCAAGGAGGAGGGGCTCTGAGCCCCCAGCCCTGCCCCCACCAGAAGGATCCCATTTCTGTCTGTTTTATATACGGGGTGGTTTTCTGCATTGTTCACGCAAAGGATTCTAGAACTAAGTCAACAACCAAAGTCCCAAGCCTGGTCCAACTCCCTCCGAATGGCAGGGAGGCTCAGGCACGGACAGGGAGGGGGTGTCCGCCTCTAGTCCCACAGACCCTTGCGGGCTCCCCCAGGCCCTGCCTAACAAGGCCCTCAGGCTGTCAGCATCACTCATCAGCCCCGGGGCCTGCGTAGGGAGCCGCATCCTCTCCCACAGCAGAGAGGGGAGAGGGCCCTCCCCAGAGCCCAGGTATCAATGGGCGCCTGTTTCCCGGCAGGTAATGAGGGGCACGGGTGCTGAGATACAGATAGTATCGTGGGAGGCCAGGAGGTGCGGCTGCCCCAGCGTGGGGCAGGTGCCAGAGAAAACACCACCGGGCAGGGGGCAGGGGGCAGGGGCAGGGGCTCCCGGCCAGCTGGGCCCTCCACTGTGGCCATAGCCAGGACCCGCTCCCCGGCCAGGAGCACAGAGAACTCATTATCCCGGCACAAGAAAGGCCCGTTTCTCTTCCGTGGGGAGGACGTGGCCGCCAGCTGGGCGCTGGTTTCAACAAGTCACTTTTCTCTTTCATCCTGCCTTACCTTCATCCCGGCTTCCCCAGGAAGGCCCGGCTCTCCTACTGCACCGGGAGGCCCCTGCAAAAAAATGCCATCGGTCCCTCCTACAGCAAGGGCTGGCCTCTGGTTGTAAGGGAGGAGATAACTTAAGCAGGCCCAGAGAGGGCAAGGAACGTGCCTGAGGTCACACAGCATGAGACACAGAGTTGGGAGCAGGCTGCAGCCTTCTCGGAGCTGGGAGCTGGGATCATAGCGAGGGTGGTGGTTGGGCCCAGGGTGCTGAGCCTCGGGGCTCCCCTGAGGCTGCTGGAGCCCTCTCCTTCCCCACGAGTGTGGTTTACCACATTAGGAGCCCCTTGGCAAGCACAGGGAGGAAAATTTCAGGATTCACATAACAACAGGGGAAGAAGCCAATAAAGGCTGTGTTCAGGGCTGACTGATCCCAGTCCTTCCCTCCAAAGCTGGGCGGGATGACTAAGGTGGGGAGGGGTCTGAGTTACCATCATGGGGATGGCCACCGCCCCTGCACGAACCCAATGCCGTGGTTCAGTTTTCTCTGGATAAGGCAGAGGTGTCAGAGGCCCCATGGGAGCCCTCTGCTGCATGGCCTCAAGAGGGCTCTCTCTGCAGTCAAACCTCAGTGCCGAGGTGAAGTCCCAGCAGGGGTGGGGTGCGGCATCGTTGTTTTCCCCGGTGCCACAGAAGAGGCACTGCCAACCCCCGTGAGGGCCCCGGGACCCCTGCAGGCCAGGCACACAGCAGCCCCTGGGACAGGGAGCCCAGCCCCTCCCCTTATGCCTAAGGTGGATCTGCCCTTCCTGCCAGGGTGCCTAACCTTCACTTTCTGTGGGACACAGGACATGACCATCCCCCTCCCAGGCCAGGCCGGGGACCCCCTGAGGAGGAGGGCTTCGAGGGGCTGATGTCTCCCCAGCAACGTCCTGGGACAAACAAGGGGCCCTGAGCACTCACCTGAGGTCCCATCTCTCCAGGAGGGCCAAGTGGTCCCTGGGGTCCCTGAGGGCCCTGGAAGACAGACAGACACACAACAGTTTCGAGACGGCAGCCTGGGCCCTCTGGAGGGGCGGATGAGGGAGAGGATCCATAGAATCTGGGACTCTGCGGCCCACACCCCCCACAGCCTGTGTCTACAGCTCCCCCCTCCCTATTGGTCTCCTGCCACCCCTCTATCGCCTGCACTCTCTCCTGTTCCTCCCCCTCAAATTCAGAGGGCCCTCCCCTACTCAGAAACCTTCCAGCTCTCCAAGCAGACTTGCTCACTCCATTCCCTCTGCCTGGACACCTCCCACCTGGGCCCCACCTCTAGAAACCCCCACCCTGCTCCTGCTCAATTCAGTGTTCAAAATGGCGTCTCTTGGGCCTCAAGATGTGGGACTGTAGCATGGCTCTGGGGGGCAGAAGCCTCCCGTGCTCCCCCTGCCCCAGGCAGGGAACCCTCCTCCTGCACCTCTCGAGACCATCCTCTCCTGTCCCTCCCCAGCAGTACAATTCCACTGCCTCCTCGTGGGGCACCCTGACACTTGGGCTGTTCTCCAAACCCATCCTTCCAGGGAGACCTCCTAAAGGGTCACCTCGGTTTCAAATCACTCATTGTCTCCTGTGGCCCTTGGGAGCAAGAGCAAGCTCTCCCCACGGCTTGAAGCGACCGGCCCCTGTGACCCCTGTCTCCCCGATGTCCGATGTCCAGACCCTACAGTTCCATCCTTCCCCACTTGGTGACCTCAAGTACTCTGTTCCCTCAGCTTTAGTCTGTGCTGAGCACTCTGTACATGTTACCGGTTCATTTTCACAACAGGATGGCAAGGTAAGGACAATTTATTCCCATCTCACTTGCAAGAAAACTAGGCTGGAGGACAAGAGTGCTTAGACTCAAGCCCAGAGCTCCTGAGCTCCCTGGCCAGCGCTCACTCTCTCTACCCTCCGAGGCCTGTCCCATCAGGGTAGCAGGGCCCTGGTACTGTCTCCCTCCAGCCTCCTTCTTATATGACCACATCCCACACTCCCAGAGGTGGCCCATCTGAGACCAGCCTGCCGGGGGGCAAAGAGGCAAAAGAGGGGGGCAAGAGGGCACTTACCGGTTCTCCTGGGAGGCCCTTGGTGCCCGGAGGGCCTGAGGGACCCGGGATGCCCTGCAGAGAGGGACAGAGGTGACTTAGTCCCTTCGCGGCTGTAAGCCTTCACCACGTGTGATGGTCCGACCCCTACCCTCCACCAAGTGACAGATGGGGACACTGAGTCTCAGGGGAAAGAGGCAGGCTGGAGGGTCGTCCGTGTAGACAGAGCAGGCAGCTAGAGCCTGTGGGGTTTCCACAGCAGGATGGGAATTTGGCTGACGTGGCTATAATCTCCCAGCAAAGCCCCACGGAATTTCCAGAACTGGTGTCACTTACCGGGAAGCCTCGCACTCCCGAGTGCCCTCGCTCACCGGCCGCACCCTGGAAACGCATTTGGGGTCATTAGAGGCACAGATCACAAAGCAGGGAGCGGGGAGGGGGCTGGCGGCCTTGGCCTGACGTACCTGTTGCCCGGGCTGGCCCGGTCTGCCCTGAGGTCCTGAAGGGCCCTGCCGAAACAGCGTGTGAAGGTGGGACAGGGTGCTGGGGGGTACCGCTCGCGGACACAGGACCCACACCCCATGGCAGATGGAAGGAACCGGTGTAATCATCCACCCCTCTCTCCACCATGCAGGTGGGAAACTGAGGCCCGGTAAGGGGAGTGGCTCGCCATAGTCACCAGCTGCTCTGGAGAACCAGGGAGCCTTTGCTCCTGCTGGGAGTAGAAGCATCTCGACTCTTGGGGGCCCTAGAGGGGGCCAGGGAACCCCGGGGAAGGCGCCAGAAGGTACCTGCATTCCTCCTCACTCCCTCAATCCCCCGGCTCCCTCTCGTTCACTGCTCTCTCTCCGTCGCCCCCCTGCTCAGACTCCAGGGCCAGGAGGCGCGGCCATGAGCTCTCAGCCTCTCTCGGACTCCCTGCTGCCCACAGCGGCCTCATGCCAAGGAAGCTGTGAGCCTTGGTTCCGGAATTCCTGACCCAGCGTGGGAGGCATGAGCAAGGGCAGGCCACGGGGTTGGTACCTGGAGGCCCCTGGACCCCTGCTCCCCGGCTGGTCCATCTGGTCCTCGGGGGCCCTGGAATAGGAAAAAAGGACTAGCATGGTGGACAGCAGGGGTCTCCCTCGGGCCGGGAACCAGGAGGGCAGGGCTGCCCAGAGCCTTGGGCCTTTCCCGGCACCAGCCTGGGGCTCCCTTCTTCTCCTACTGCCCGCACATCCCGAGCCTGAGGCTGGCCATCCGGGTGCGGTGTGCCGAGATGGCTCCACCTGGAGGGACTCCGCTAGAGGCCCTATCATTCTGGAATAGAGCCGGTGCTGCACAAATGACCCTGTTTAAAGAGACCTCGGAGGTCAGCCAGCCAACGCATTTCATAGTTGTGGAGGCTGAGGGCAGAGCCTAGCCACGCGTGGCCCAGTCCCTCCAGTTGGGCCTTCAGGTTCGGCTGTTGCATGCACTTCCCAGGGCACATGTGAGGCAGAAGCAGGTGTGTGGTCCGCAATCCGTGGGGGCGAACCGAACCCTCAGGGAGGGTCTGAGTCTGCATGAGGCTGGGTGTCTGCAGCAGCCTCCTCCAGCCCGACGTGCAAGTCAATTCAGCCCTGCTCACGGAGGAAGAGCCGACATGTGGAGGGGGCAGGAGCGGGGCAGGGGTCAGGCCGCTGTTCCCTGGAGCCCCAGACAGGAATCTTATTCCTTCGAAAGCTAGGAAACCGCCTGGGGCGGGTGGAATGTGCTCCCTGCCCCCACTGCACAGATGCAAATACTGAGGCCCAGTCAAGGGCCGTGATTTGTCTCAGGTCCCTTAGCCCATCAGCAAGTGTATCTCCTCCAGGGTTCTACCTACTGGCCCATGTGACCCCCTTACAGGAACTCCCACAGAGACACAGATGGGATCTAGAAAAGGCCCCCATAGAGAACAGTGCGGTGTTTGTCCTGCAGAGGATCAGAGAGGTCATGCTGGGGAGACAAAGAGGGTCCTGTGCAGGAGGCCGGCCCACCCCGGACCGGGAGTGTGGGGGCCAGCCACAAAAGGAGGTGAGGGAACGTGTCTGGCTGGAAGGGGGGTATGAGAGATTGAAAATAGGACAGGAAGAAAGCATTTAAAAATTGAACAAGGAAATTTCATTTTGTTTTTTTAAACATTTTATTTTTAAGTAATCTCTACGCCCGACATGGGGCTCAAACTCACAACCCCGAGATCAAGAGTTGTGTGCTCTACTGACTGAGCCCGTCAGGCACCCCAGAAATGTTCAATTAACAATTGAGCCAAAGAAAGCAACAATTCCTCTTATCAGCTACCTGGGGCTTCCAATGCATCATCTCCACACCAACGGCCTTAAATAGAGCCTCATGGGGGTGCCTGGGGGGCTCAGTTAAGTGTCCGACTTCAGCTCAGGTCATGATCTCACAGTTTGTGGGTTCGAGCCCCACGTCAGGCTCTGTGCTGACAGCTCGGCGCCTGCAGCCTGCTTCGGATTCGGCGCCTCCCTCTCTCACTCTGCCCCTCCCCTGTTCATACTCTGCCTCTCTCTCAAAATTAAACATTAAAAAAACATAAATAGTGCCTCACAAACTGAATAAACCCAGGACAGGGGACGACGCCGAGCCTCAGTTATCTTGTCTCGGAAATGAGGCTGAGAATCTCTCCTTTAAGGTAGGAGATA